TGTTAGAATCTGGTCACCCTATACAAGTGCCAAACCAGGCAAAGCTTTTTTCAAAGAATCTTTGCACCCACCTCTAATCCGTAAGCCCTGTTTGAGGTGCCCTGCCTTTTCAGGCCAGTTGATTCAATACACCTTCCATGATTCGATTCGATTCCATTTTACCTACAATTCCTGATTCGATTTTACCTATAATTCCTGTCTCCGTGAAGGTATGAAGCCAAATTGTAAGCTGGCTGCCTAGGGCATATTTTCTCAAGACCTCTTGAGACTATGCTCCCTGAGCCATGGTCAAAGATATTCAGACCAAGAATAAACCTCTTTAGGTTTAGATTATTTTACTGCGTTTAGGATTTCTTCTGGTGAACACATCCACGTTAATATCCTGATTTCAGACCTGTTGGCTGAGGGTGCATATGCAGGAGACTGCAGCTGTGGAAACTGAAATCAGAAAAGCAGTCCGTAAGACGGAGTCGTTGAAGCTCAGCTAACGCTGCCCAGACTTCCCCACATACCTTCCTTGATTACCTAGTTAAGGTTTCACCACGATTCTGAGAATGTTTATTTCAGGAGACTTGAGGAAGTAGTCACACATAGACAATAGGTGTTGTGATACTGGGAAAGTAAAAGGTTTCTTTTTTTGTGTTTTTGGCCAAGGCTGGCTTTGAACCTGCCACCTCTGGCATATGGGGCCAGCACCCTACTCCTTTGAGCCACAGGTGCCACCTGGGAAAATAAAAGTGTTGATAATACAATGTTTTCCTTAATGATTTTCTTAGATATTTTGTTAAAGTGAAAACTACCTTTTTGTTAATTTAATTTAATTTTTGTTTTTTGTTTTTTGAGACAGAGTTTCACTCTGTGCCCTGGGTAGAGTGCTGTGCCATCACAGCTCACATCAACCTCAAACTCTTGGGCTCAAGCAATCCTCTTGCCTCTGCCTCCTGAGTAGCTGGGGACTACAGGCACTCCCCACAATACCTGGCTAATTTTTCTATTTTTAGTAGAGACCGGTCCTGCCCTTGTTCAGGCTGGTCTCCAACTCCTGAGCTCAGGTGATCTACCTGCCTTGGCCTCCCAGAGTGTTAGAATTACAGGCATGAGCCACCTTGCACAGCAGAATCATCTGGAGATTTTAATAAAATCCTGATGCTCAGGTCCCACTACTGATTTACTAGGTTAAAATGTATGAAATTATTGCTCTTTAGCCACTTTTGACCTACAAAAATAGCAATACTATATTGTTTAACCTAATATTGATCTGGGTTGGAGATGGGTACCTATCAATATGTACATATGTATCTATCTCTCTCTATACACACACATATTTACATATATGTATATATACATCTATAAATGTACATCATGGATATATATATTTATAGCGAGACCTTGACTCTAATATTATATATAATTAATTATATTAGAATCAGGGTCTCACTCTGTTGCTCAGGCTAGAATTACAGTGGCCTTATCACAGCTCACTACAACCTCAAGGGATCCTCCTGCCTCATCCTCCCAAGCAGCTGGGACTATAGGTCTGTACCACCACACCCAGGTAGTTGTTTTAAGTTTTTGTAGAGACAGGGTCTCACTCTGTTGCCCAGGCTGGTCTCAAACTCCTGGCCTCAAGCAATTCTCCTGCCTCCCAAAGTGCTGGGGTTGGCTCAGCGCCTGTGGCTCAAGCAGCTAAGGCACCAGCCACATACACCTAAGGTGGCGGGTTCAAATCCAGCCCGGGCCCGCCAAGCAACAATGACGGCTGCAACCAAAAAAAAATAGCCGGGTGTTGTGGCGGGCGCCTGTGGTCCCAGCTACTTGGGAGGCTGAGGCAGGAGACTCACTTGAGCCCAGGAGTTGGAGGTTGCTGTTA